ATATGTGAACTGCTGTATGAAAAGTGAATTTACTCTGTAAATCTTCACCCAAATCCTAATAAAAAAAAAAAAAAAGAACCAGAAAAACAAAGAGTCCCACTGAGTTCCAGCTCTCACAGGTTCACTGTATAAACCTAAGCTAGCATAGCAATTATTTATTTGTGGTTGTTTCCTAACACTAACACAAAAGCATTTTCATTGTAGGCCCTTCCTGATTTTCCACCATCATACTTCATTATCTCTTCTGCCAGATTTCAATGTCTGAACTCAAAAACAGTAGTTGAGCTGCCTGCATTCCTTTATTTTTCTGTTTAATTCTTGGTTCCTCGACGATAAGTGCTTTTAGCACAGACAGCTCAGCACAAAGCACAGCCAACTATATTTTCATTCACTCGTCTCCCTTGAGTCTAGAATAGATTAAACTCACTGCTGTTGAGTCGATTCAACTCATAGCAACCCCTCCTTGGGTTTCCGAAATAGTTTGGTTCTGTCATTTTCCTTTTTTTTTCTGTATTATATATAGAAATACAATATATTTCTTTATTTTCTGAATTCTATTTTATACCCTGGCTGACGTAATATTCTACCAATCAAACCTGCAGCCTCTAATCTCTCTCTGCTCCAATTCAGTAACAACAAAAAATTTTAATCATGTTCCCTATTGCCCCTGGTTAAATCTTCAATGGCCCCAAATTATCCATAATAGGAATTATAACTCTGTTGGAAACACGTAAAAAAATGAATGCCCACTTGGGAATTGGGAAAAGGAGAAACAAAATGTCACCACTACTCCCACACCTACCAGCTCCACTGAAAACCACAATGGAGACATTTTAGTATCTAATGATCAAAGATGTCCACTTGAAGTACTCATCGCAATCCAGAAGGCTTCTAACCACATGGCGATTTCTACTGTAATTTCTTCCATTTGTAACTCAAGGATACTGCCATTGTCACAAATTTGATCTTACTCTTAAGAATTTGACATAAAATAAAATCAGCTCTTCCTCACAACAGGTCTAGGAACTTTGATCTACAAGATAAAGCCCAAAGCCCATAGTTTTCACAGTGCTCCACTTATCATTATAATTTGTCTTCCATTATTCTCCAGAATATTCTTACACTTCAAATATTGACCTCTAGAGAAACTTGCTTCTTACAACTTAGTAACTCCACACGTGGTTTTCCCCATGACTAGAACGTTCTTCCTCCTCTAGATCCAACCCATCAAAATCCAGCATAAGCACTAGTCTTTCATAACAATGCCAACTTGCAGGGACCACAACACCTCTTTTGGGCTCCTATATGTTCCAGCCTGGATCACTCACTTGATATTAGTCAGTATGTTAATCTTAAATGAAAGAATGGTCTACACACTCACCTGAGAAAAAAACAGAATAGCTATACATTGAAAATGTGTATTCTTCCTTCCAAAGGGTAGACATTTATTTAACACCCATATAATAGTCACTGAGGGACAGCAGTCGTTGGGAGACAGTTACTCAGACAGGGACAAGGGCTCCCACAATGGATATGAACAGAAATGATGTATGTCCCTTCCAGGCCAGAGTTTTTAAGTAGCAGATGTGCCTTCTCTATGCTCCTTTTCTTGGTCTGCCTTGGAGGCATAGAAGTCAAGGCCCTAGGGGATGACAATAGCAATGAGACAGAAGACGCCTAAGCCCAAGAATCATGGAGAAAAGGTGCTTACTATTCAGCAACATCAGCACTGGACTATTCCATGGTGATAAAGAAATGTCTAGTAAATTAAGCCACTAAATTTTAGAGTTTATTTGTTATAGCAGCTAGCATTAATCTACAAGTACACATGAGGTCACTTAACTAGTTAGTGACAGAGCTAACACTGGAATCCATGTTTTCTGACTCTTCCCCTGACAGTATATCAAACTGTCTTTAGACATGTATCTATATTTCTAAATGATCTCTGTGGCATTTAGGCAATTTGTTCCTACTAATTGTTCTCAGACAAATGCTATTAATTCCCAACAAAGTCTTATCCACACTTACCATTTACAGTCATTTTCAAACAAGCAGAACATGGCTTTCTGGAAAAATAAAGATCACAGTTTTTCAGCCTTGATCCATGTTTAATAAGAGCAATTTGCCCAGCATGTAAATCTTCACTAGAACAATGGAGACCAACAATTTTCATGTTTTTCACCACCACAAGACCAGTTCTTTTCACCTACATTAAAATAAAAGATAATAAATAATATATTAGTTGTAACATCTAATGATTATGTCATGACTTATACTTGATATACTAATAAAAGTTTTGTTTAGCTGTTTATCTGAACACAGTTCTTCCTTGTCTCGTATGGTGATTTTTGTCTTAAAGTCAATTTGATCAGAAATTAATATTGCCACTCCTGCTCTCTTACAGTTGCCATTTACTTGATATATCTTTTTCCAACCTTTGATTTTTAGTCTATTTTTGTCTTTATCTCTAAGGTATGTCTCTTGTAGGCAGCATATTGATGGGTTG